CCGTCCCCTGCTCCTCCTCCTCCTCCGTCTCCCACTGCTGCAGCTGCCGCTGAGGGGGGTGGATGTGTGGGAGCCGAGGTTTAGGGTTTAAGGGGGGTGCCGTGGAAGTGGAGCTAGGGTGTCAGCAGGGGGTGTGTGAGAGGGGCGTGGGACGGTCGGGGGAGGTTGAGCGGAGGCTGCCGTCTTGTCGTCAGCAGCACCTGTAGTCCGGGGCGCTGTTCCGGTAGCCCAGTCGTAGCCAGCTGCGCCAGTCGCCCGTGGGTCCGTTGCTCGTCTGCCGCTCTTCTTAGCCGCGGAGCCAGTTACTCCTGTAGTCCGGGGCGCTGTTCCGGTAGCCACTGTGCCAGTTTGACTCCTGTTGCCCGTGTGTCTGCAGCTTCAGCCGTCGCCTCTCATCTTCTCTCCTTCCACAGTTCCTCCTCCTCACTTGCCCTTTGTGAATGCCTCTAGCTTTGCTTGCACTTGTGAACCTGCTTTCTACCTGCTTGCTCATTGTACTGATTACACCCCACTTTGGCTATGGGGGTGTGTCAGAATGTTATTCTCTAGCCTGTAGTGGGGTGCTCTATAGCGAGTACAACCCATCTAGGGTTTGCTATATGTATCCTCATTGCTGCTAGTGAACCTCCTCTTTTGCCTTCATTCTCTCTTGCCTAGCTAGGTCAACCCTAGCTATGGCTCCTGCTTATGCTTACTCTTTTGACACTATTGCCCAATTGGCAAAATGGCAGCCAATTTCCTAACGAAGAAATTGCCACGAAAAAAAAATATGTACTTCGCGGACTTCTGCAGAGTCGTCAAGAGCCATGTAGAACACCTTCGGGAATGAAGGGGATTGTTGCAAATATGCAAATATTGTATTTGAGCATTTCATAAGGTATAGCTGTATCGGACCCGCTACCATCGAAGTAGCGCTTGTACCACTATCGCTCTAGCCCAAATGGGGCACGCAGGCAGGGTCGCTAGCAGACATGAATTTTTGCATTAATCTGATGGGCCAGTCAGCATGAGACATAACAATATTTTTTGCTCGGGGGGGCCATCTGATGCATCAGACATGCCTCAGATCCCACCCTGCACGCAGGCCAACAATCGCAAGAACTGTCGCTACTGTTGACTAACCGGCACGAAACGGTTGCGAGGAATTGCAACAGGCGTAACTGTCTTTACGGCTACAAGCAGTACCTCAGTAACTGAAGAATCGCAATATTCACTAGCATTGTAGCGATTCCTGCATTACAACTGAATAAGGGAATGTACCCCTCAAAGTACATGGCTCGTTGGGAGTTGTATGTTGTGTGTAATTTTCAATTCAATCAAGATTGTCATTTATATTCCCTATGAGCAAGGTTCTTAGCACCGTATTACCCCGAATAAAAGAGCAGGTGCGCTTATAATAAATCGGTGTTTTTTTGGGGGATGCGCTATAGTTGAGTCGTTTGTATAAGCGCATGCGCTTATAAAATGACAAGTATATATTAATAATATTTAAACACAAATTGCAGATCTCGTGTTGGCTTTTCCAAATGAGTCTAAGTAACAGAGGGTCGTTAGTGAAATTCTCGCGCGGCTGGCTGATACAGTTGATGTGAGTGACTAGGCGCCCCTGACAGCTCATGCTGACTGGACTCGCATTCTGTGCAGGGTTCGAACGTGAGAAGAACCGAATTTGCAACATATCCACCTGCTAAAGGGAAAGCCGTTACAGTATTTTCACACATTTTTATCGTGGAATTTAACATGCGCATAAATCAAGTTTTTCAGGGGGTGCGCTTATAATTGAGGATCGGCCATAAGCGCATTGCTCCAGATAGAAGCGCATGCGCTTTTAATAGGCAAGCGCTTTTATAAGGGGCGATACGGTACTATAAAAGACTTCCGCTACCAACTCTAGCAGACCTATCCTATCCAAGGCCCTTTAACATAGTGTTCACTTATGCCTTCACTTGCAGTACAATTCTTTGGCGTGGCTTGCATAATCTCAGCGTACATTAGGACTTTGTTATACCGTATACAGTATTTATTTCTTGTAACTAATATCGCGCAGTCTCACAAATGGAATATGCTGGTCGTTTTCTGACAAGCATGAGGCAAACCAGATCGCGGAAGTGAGGTCTCTCGTTTCGAGAATCGCATAGCGCCAGCTGAGAAAAAGGCTCCACTCCACGGTGTCAACGATCTAGACTCTGAAACCTGCGCTTCGCAAGCTCAGATCCTCACGCCTCCCCAACTCAAATTAAGTGGCTGTCAGATCGTTTGCCGTTGTACTGCAGATTTATCGGTTCAAGCGTACCTGACGCGATGGCGGAACCGAGCCAGGATGGCACTCTGCTCGGCATGCTCTCCAGAGGGTTCCAGAAGTGGGTGTCGTTGCCTTACTTAGTGGTCATTTCTGTCGACTGGCATGATGAGCGTGTTTGCATGCGACAGGTTGCTTGGGACTGAGAATTTGGAAATCGTAAATCCGGAAGGAGGGAAGGAAGATGTTTTGGATGAAGCTGCCAGAGGAAGGTTCAGCAACCAGGTGGGGTTCATGACAAGGACAGCCAGCCGTCGGATATAGATTCTTTGCTGCTGACGTTGCTGTTACACTGGTGCAGGAAAAGGAAAGTTATTTCAAACAAGCTCAGAAGTACATTGGCGCTGACGTCACATCACTTGTCACGCTTCCGGTCATTATTTTTGAGCCCATGACGATGCTTCAAAAGATGTGCGAGGTGAGCGTCCGTCGAAGCTGTGTTGTACGAGCTGCCGTCGCTGTGGTTTGACCTGCGATGCGCTTGTATTTCAGCTCATGGAGTACACTGATTTACTCAACAAAGCGGACAGCACAGACGACCCCAATATGAGGATGGTCTACACAGGTACGGGGTTTTGTCAGATCTCATCTCTCCGTTGGTTCCATTTTGTGTGTTCTGATATCCAGCGCTTTCGCAGCTGCGTGGGCGGTATCTCCCTATGTGGCATTCTCAAGGACATGGAAGCCATTCAACCCCATCCTCGGCGAGACATTTGAATTTTCGAACCACAATGGCATCACTTTTGTAAACGAGCAGGTACTTCTCCATTCTTCATGGGTTGATGTGTTGAGTAAACTGCTTCTCATTTTCCGTAGTTCCATGCAGGTGAGCCATCATCCGCCTATCTGTGCTGGGCATGGGGAAAATGAGCACTTTGTCTACGACTGCACCTCAAAGGTCAAGACAAAGTTTCTTGGAAATTCAGTGGAGGTTTATCCCTTAGGAAGGTACGCATTTGATAGAAAGTCATCTTCGCCCACTCGTCAGGTAGCCATCTGAAAGTCCTCACTTGCTTGATTGCATTGCCTGCAGGACGAGAGTGAAATTAAAGAGGTCGGGTCATGTGTTTGACTTGGTTCCTCCACCTACTAAGGTTCAAAATATCATTTTTGGCCGCACGTGGGTGGATTCACCTGGTGATATGGTGCTTACAAACACAACCACAGGAGAAAAGGTGGTTCTTTACTTTCAGCCATGCGGCTGGTTTGGGTGAGTATTCTACATACCCCAGACATAAGTTACGCTGTGTGCTTTGGCTGGTTCTCTGAGACCTTGCTTCGGTATTGTGTTGCATCCTGTAGCACGCATCAATGTTTTGATTTGATGCTTTCTTCTCTCTTTAGTTATCACCGATAGCATCTATTTCTCTTCATCGCTTCTAAAGCTTGCTCATCGCTATTAACGTCCCTTGCAATGCGTAGGGCTGGGCGCTACGAAGTTGATGGGTACGTCTACGATTCTTCCGAAGAACCTAAGATGCTTATCACTGGCAAGTGGAACGAGTCACTGAGCTACCAACCGTGCGATCATGAAGGAGAACCGCTGGAGGGATCCACACTGACTGAGGTATGTGCTTCGGGCTGTGTGCATGTTGAAGATGCTTTTGCGAGCTTACCCATTTGTATTTATATGGACCACTGCAGGTTTGGCGACTGACCGACTTGCCTGAGGACGATAAGTTCCAGTTTACTCACTTCGCGAGAAAGCTGAACAGTTTCGAAACTGCACCTCCAAGCCTTCTGCCATCTGATTCCCGCCTGCGCCCTGATCGCAAAGCTTTGGAAGAGGGGGACCTTAACCAGTCTGCATCAGAAAAGTACAGGTCAGTTTTTGGCGATGTTCTGGTGCCATCCGCATTCTGCCATCAGTATTCTTGCATTCTCAGCTAGTGATGTGTAAATGAAACTGCAGGCTGGAAGAGCACCAACGTGCAGAGAAACGTGAGAGAGAACATCGTAAAGATACTTTTATTCCCAAGTGGTTTCGTTCTTCTGGGGAGACAGCTGTCACACCATGGGGAGATCTTGAAGTGTACGAGTTCACTGGACTGTATAATGAGAGGAAGTCAAGTAGTACTTCTGACTCTCCTGATGAAGATGCTTCCAAGCAGGAGTTTAGTCCATGGCAGTATCCGGAGCTGAAGGTTGAGGTACAAGAATCTCCCGTGCCTCCAGGGGTTGTTGCTCTCTAGGATACATCACTACCGGTACTATTCTCTATGCCAGACTTGTTATGGGTCCATGAGTGCCTTTTTCGTTCCCAATGCGGCTGCTGATATCCGTCATCTACTGTAAAAGGGACAGATACCGTAAAAGATAAAAGTGATTGCACATCTGGTAGAACTGTAAAATACGCTTACATTATACGGTACCATAGTATTTGTTTGGGTCTCTGGGCACTAGTGGTGCTCTTTCACAGCAATCAATTCTGTCCAATAAACTGCTTTTCATGTACGTATGGTCACCATAGGGAATTGTTTGAACTTTCATCTCCAAGCTGAAATTATAGAAACCATGCTGCTAACCCGTGATCATGTTTCGCTTCTAAGATATGGTCACAATCTTGGTCCTTAGCGCTAAGGAGCTTCATTCAGTTCATTCAGCAGAGTTAGTCTCGCTGCAGCACGGTTTTAAAGGGTAAAGAAAAAGAACTGCAGTGTTCTGGATTTTATTGCGTTAGTACCATGTCCACATCAAAAGTTTAGAAAAGCTTGGGAAACTGGAAGAACGGCTTAGGCTCCTCGTATTGGGCCTCCAACACTGCAATGGTCTCATCGATGTGCTTCTCTGGTTGAAACTGGTTATTAAATATGAGCTGCATTAAGCAAACGGGTATGCAAATGTCAGAAGGGATGATACTGGTGAAGAGAACAATGACTATTTTGAAGCAACTTACCTGCACGACGCCCTTCTTGTCAATCACATAGGTTTGACGGCCAGGAAGGACCCCAAACAAATCACTAGGGACGCCCCACTCCTTGCGCACAGCGTTGCCCTCGTCATACAAAAGAGTGAAGGGTAGGCTGTACTTCTCGGCGAACAACTGTATGAGAAAGAGCGAGGGAAGAGCGTTAGTAGTGGGCACGGGAAGTAAATCCTCCATGTCAACAATTAATCATATTAACAGCAAGCACCTTGTGAGACTCGGGCGAATCGCCGCTGATTCCGACAACTTCAGCACCTAATTTCCGGAATTCCTCAAAGGAGTCACGGAACGAGCATGCCTGCAGCATCATCATTTGTGTTAAATGTTAGACAAGGAAATTGGCAACATAACGGTGAGATAGAAGAGCTGACGAAGCGTGGACATGCACCTGCTTGGTGCACCCAGGAGTGTCATCGGCGGGATAGAAATAAAGAACCACGCTCTTTCTCCCTTTGAGTTTGGCCAAGTCGAACACGCGACCATTCTGGTCGGTCAGACTCAGAGGCGGGGCCTCGTCCCCAACGGAAACCTGAATTCATACATCCAATGACATCATCTCCCTTAGCAGCTGCGACTAGGACTGAATGAATCATGCATGAGCGACGCCTGTAAAAACCGAACCTTGGCGACAACATGGTTAGGTCGGCTAGTAACGAACGCTGGAGACTGCCGCTTCGTGACAGCCTTTAGATTGATATTCCCGCCAACGAAAGAAGAACCTGAGAAATTGGAGGCGCCCTTCACTGCTGGGAAGATCTGCGCGACGCAGCTTCCCGCGGAAGGAACGACATTGCTAAGTGCAACGGAGCTCAGAGCAGCCATGACCGAGACTACAATGACGAAACTACGACACACGTTTCTGGAATTTCTGAGGAAATTTGAGTCATGAATAGACGAGGACAACACAGGACGAGATCGAAAGAGCGCAGCTCGAGCATTCCAGCCATTTTGGAAAACCACATCTGGAGCGCCACGTGTGATTCATGTTCGTTAAAATTCGCTAACCAATTGTGCCACCTTTACCGTCTAGGTTCCCGTCGTTGCGAATATGTATGAAACCGATAGGGCGGGAATAGAATTTGCTTGATTTAAAATTATTACAGAGGAAACGGAAGAGCATCTTTTTGTGAACTTTTTTTTTGGCAATGGCAACAGAAGAAATAGCACAACATGCAGGTGACAACAGCTCCACAATGTTGGACCTTTAGGGAATATATTTTCAGACGCCCATATTAGCATCACCTTTTTCTGCCACTGCCTGCCTTATTCTGTGGTTTCCCTCTCCCCTTGCCAGCAGTGCCCTTACCCTTCCTGCCCTTGCCCTTCCTCGCATTGGCCTTCTCAGCACGCAGGTCCTTCTTCATGCGCCGGTCCACCATGATACTGTTCTTCACCCCACGCCCGCGGTTGCCCTGCTGCCCCTTCTTCGCCACCACCACGATCTTCTTGGCCGGCCGCTCCGAGGCCACCTTGCTGTAGGCGCGCTGCATGAGGCGCCCCTTGGCGCGCTCCGTCAGGTCTGCCTGCTCCGAGATGGCCGTTGCCTTCTGCCGCGCCGCCTCCAGCTGCTTCATTAGCCGCCGCCGCTTCCTGCCCTTCGCCTCCGCCACCTGGAGGTATGGGGAGTGCGGGGAAAAGGGAGGCCACAGGAGAAAAGAGGAGAGTAAAATGGAGATACGGCACAGGAGAACGTTGCCACCAAAGGTGCGTGTGCCTGTTACGTCTAACTTCTTGCCAGAACAATGAAGGCTTGTGGGGGGGAAGCCAGTGTTGCAGGGGGTGCGGTCACCTTGTTGGTGGGGCGGGCGTTGATGGCGCGGAACTGCGCCTTGAGCTCCAGCACCTCGTCCTTGCTGATGGGCTTCAGCGCCACCATGTGCCGCCGCTCGTCGTCCGCAAACCACTTGGGCAGCGCGTGGGCGTCGTCGTCAAACATGTACCGGTTGTACGCGTCGTCCACCAGCTCGTCGCGCTCTCGCTTCCTCAGCATGCGCCGAGCATACGCCAGCGTCTCCGCCTTGCTGTCGCTGTCCCACTCCTCCTCCTCCTCCCCCATCGCCCCCCCTCCATGCCCCCCTGCTGCGCCCCCACCCCCCGTGCGTGCATGCCTGCCTCCCCTGTGCCCGCCATGTGCACCACCACGGCTGTCACTGTCGCTGTCACTGCCGCTGTCGCTGTCAGAGCTGTCATCAGAGCTGTCCCCCTCGCTGCCACTCAGCCTCTCCTCCGGCACCACCTCAAACCCCGCCTCCTCCTCCTCCTGCTTCCCCGCCCGTTCCCTCTTGACCGTGCCTTTCTCGCCGTCTTCCTCCCCTCCCGCCGCTGTGGCACGGGGCACAGCCGTCTCAGTGTGAGCATCCTTCACCTTGCCAAGTTTGCTCTTCCTTGCTGCCTCTCCATCCCCCCCATCACCTGCCACGCACATTACTCTCCCATCATCAACATATGCCACCTCCCCTTCCTCGCCCTCCACTTCCCCCTCTTCTTTCCCCTCCTCCCTCTCCGCCACCCTTTCACTAGCCTTCCTCGCTTTCTTCTCTCCTCGCTGCTTCTCCTCCTTCCCTCCTTTCGCAGGCCCTTCACCTCCCTTCCTCCCAGCCGTGAGCGGCACTGCACCACCCGTCTTCGCCCCACCGCCTGCACCGCTCGCCTTCGTCCCATCTTGCGGCTCCTCCACCGCCTCCCCCTCAAGGTCGAGCCCCTCAAAGAGGTCCTGGGTGAACCACTGCGCCTGCACGCGCTCGCTCGCACTGCTCTCGCCCAGCCGCACCAGCAGGGGGTTCTCCTCCTCCTCGCCCTCCTCCCCAATGTGCACCACCGCCGCCTCCTCCTCCCCACCCTCCTCGCCCTGCGCCCCGGCGTCCTCCTGGCCGTCCTCCTCCTGCCCCTCCAGCGCCATGAGGCGGGCGCGGGCCGTGCGGCGCTTGCTGCTGGCGGTGGCCTTGCAGTAGTGCTCGTACGCCGTCTCAAAGTACGCCTCCAACTCCGCGTCGTACCTGCCACTCGTGGAAAGAGGAGAGCGCGGGGGACGATTCGCAAGTTAAGTTTGGGCAAGAGAAAATGAGTCGAGAAGAGATGGGCGCTACAATTTGAGTCGTGAAGGGTGGGAGACTGGTGGAATGCGAGAGACATGGAGAAGCCGTGCAGACGGGAGTGCCTCACATACCACCATGCCGCACATGCCACCATGCCAACACATGCCACCACGCCTCACCTCCTCTTCTCTGCATCGCTGTCATCATCGTCACTCCCCTCCTCCACGTCCTCCTCCTCCTCATCGCTCTCCTCCCTCTCCATGGCCGCCATCTCCTCTGCATCCGGTGCCTCCGTGTCATCCACGCCGCTCAGCTGCTTGCGCTGCCCGCAGCAGACGGGGGCCACGGCGATGAGGAGAGACAGAGGGAGGGAGTGAAAGGGGGTCAGTTGGAAGACGACGGGGGAGAACAGAAGGGGGAAGAGTTGATGTTAAAATGACTGTGATCGGGAGTGGACAGCCGGGTTAGACAAAAAGAGAACTGGAAGTGATGGATGGGGCGGAAGGGAGAGAGTGAAGGGGCGAAGCGAATGAGGTGTGGTGTAGATGAGAGGTGCACGAGTGATGTAGCACAGGCAGGTGGTGAAGGGAGCGAGGAGGCACCTTGATGGCGGCGAGGGCGAAGAGCTCGTCGTCCGCGGCAATGTCCGTGTCACCCAGCGCGTCCACCTTCATGCCCGTCGCTGTGCGCGCCTTGCTCTGCGCCAACCAAGCGGTGGGGGCGGGGGCGAGGGAGTTTGGGAGCATGCGAGGTTGGGCGTTGAAAGGTTGAGGGAGAGGCCGGTCGAAGGTGTGGGTGGAGTGATGCCTTGTTCAGCGCACCACACTCCAAGCGCCTTCCACGGCAAGCCTTCACAGCACCGTGTGCACAACCACCAGCTGCCCGCCCTCTACAGCCCCAGTGAACCCTGCTCCTCATGCACACTCGCATTCCTGCCCACCCACTCACCCACCTGCTCTCCCACCCACGCCTGCATTGGCACCGCCCCTTCCCCCAACACCTGTCCGTCGCTCCTACTTTCACCTCCCTCTGGCATTTCTTCACCCCACCTCGCCCGCCCAGCTCCCCCTCCCTCCTCTCATCCCCGCCCCCACCCACCTTTTCGCGGCGGCGCTTGTCCGCTTTGAGTTTGAGCCGTCGCTTGGCGCCCAGCAGGTCGCGCAGCTCCGCCAGCTCCTCCAGCACCACCGCCTCCTCCCGCTCCCGCCGCGCCTCCTCATCCTCCCCCCCCTCCTCCCCCTCCTCTGCCGCCCCGCCCTCGTCCCCTTCCCCCCCTTCCTCCTCCGCGCCATCCACCTCCCCCTCCGCCCGCTTGTCCTGTCGAACCAGCTTTGGAAGGTCCTTGCGAATCTTGAGGCGCCACCTGGCAGCACATGGTTGGATAATGCAGACAGGGCGAGGGGCGGGAGAGAAAGGCTGTCAGGGCTGTGCAACGCAGACAGCTGATGGGAGCAACGAGCCAAGGGGGATGTTGATGCACACTGAGTGGCGATGAAGCATGCGGCACTGTGTGGGTTGAGGAGGTGAGTGGTGGGGAAAGAAAGAGGTGAAGCCCACTCACCTGCTACACTCATTCCAGCACAACCCTCACTTGAGCAGCAGCGAGGTCAAGTTGCATTGCAGGCACATGGTGACACAACGGCACCTACTTGGTGCTCCAGTGCACTCACTTGAGCAGCTGCTTGCACTCACTTGAGCAGCTGCTTGCACTCACTTGAGCAGCTGCTTGCACTCACTTGAGCAGCTGCTTGCACTCACTTGAGCAGCTGCTTGCACTCACTTGAGCAGCTGCTTGCACTCACTTGAGCAGCTGCTTGCACTCACTTGAGCAGCTGCTTGCACTCACTTGAGCAGCTGCTTGCACTCACTTGAGCAGCTGCGTGCACTCACTTGAGCAGCTGCTTGCACTCACTTGAGCAGCTGCTTGCACTCACTTGAGCAGCTGCGTGCACTCACTTGAGCAGCTGCTTGCACTCACTTGAGCAGCTGCGTGCACTCACTTGAGCAGCTGCTTGCACTCACTTGAGCAGCTGCTTGCACTCACTTGAGCAGCTGCGTGCACTCACTTGAGCAGCTGCTTGAAGTCCCTCTTGCCCAGAATGCGCAGGTCCTTGCACAGCTCGTGGATCTGCACAGCAGAGCGGGTGGCCGGGAGGAGGGGGGGGGAGAGGGGGCATGGCATGGCAGTAAGTTACAGCGACTGCTGTGCCAGTTACCACAAGAGCAACGAGAGCAGCAGCAGGTGTCACAGGGCCGTGTCTCGCCTCACCTCGGGTGTGGCTCTGTCTGACCTCGGGTGTGCCTCTGTCTGACCTCGGGTGTGCCCCTGTCTGACCTCAGGTGTGCCTTGCCTCACCTCGGCCGTGCCTCGCCTCACCTCGGGTGTGGTGAGTGGGTGGTCCATGACGGGCTGGGCGAACGGCAAGTCAAAGGTGATCTCGTGGAAGGTTCCCAGAAAGGCGACGGCATTGTCGGTGGTGAGGAAGTCCGCCAGTGATGCGCGCTTGTGCACCACACTCTGCCCCTCCTCGTACCTGATGTGGTGCCGCATGAGGAGGAGGGGGCAAGGGGTGCGCGGGAGGAAGGCACGGCGGAGATGAGCCAAGAGGTGCAAGAGGCTTGTGCAGCACAGCGCTGCTTGGAGTGCAGGCACGCAGAACAGCAGAGAGGCAGCGATGGTTGGCATGGCTGGTGTGGCACGGTGCATGGGTGTGGTGGCATCACAAACACTTGTCCCTCCTCAAGTGCTACTACTCTCATCCCAAACACTTGTCCCCGCTTCTTCCCTCCTCCCCCCCCACGTCGTCCATCTCCCTGTTCACCTCATTCCTCCACTCATTTCTCCCCACTCTCCCTTCCCTCCGGTCCAATCATCCCCCCTCTGACACCGTGACTGACCCCTCCCCCTGGCACGGGCGGGCACTCACCCGTCTCTGCTTCGCTTGCTCTTGGGCTCCGCCAGCACGTCCACCGCCTGCCACCCACCCCCACATGCCACGCCACCCCCACATGCCACGCCACCCCCACATGCCATGCCATGCCATGCCATGCCATGCCATGCCATGCCATGCCATGCCATGCCATGCCATGCCACGCCATGCCATAGCATGCCATGCCATGCCAACACAGCCCCAACAATGGGCCCACAGCGACAGTGGGAAGGAGAGAGGGCAGTGGAAAGGCGAGAGAGAGGGAAGGTGGTGTGAGGAGGCAACAAGACAGGCAGAGCTCATTGCGCTGCTGCCACATTGCATGTTGCATGCTCCACCAACACACCTCTCCTCTTTCCTCATTACCATACCTCCCGTACCACCTTCTCACTCATCTCTCACCCTCTTAAACCCCGCTGAAGCCACCCTTCCGCGCTGCATGCGGCCATGTGCTCCTTGGGCGGCGGCTCACCTTGGGCAGCTCACCTTGGGCGGCTCAGGCACGGTCTCAAAGAGGTGTTTGGCGTCGAGCAGGCGCGGGTCGATGCGGGAGGGCGCCTTGAAGGCGTGGCACACCACGTAGATCTCCGCCGACGTTGCTCTCGATGCCACCGGCTTCGTCGCCTCCACTCGCCCAAACAGCTGCGCGCACACAGGCAAGACACGCACGCACGCAGGCAGGAGGAGCAGGCAGGGGAGGAGCGGCAGGTAGAGAGGAGAGAAGTCAATTAGTTGGCTTGGAGGCTTCTTCCCCATAGGTAGATGAAACCATGCCCAATCGCTACATCTGACATTCTAGAATTTAGACCGCTATATTGTAACAAGGAAGGGTATGAAAGGGAAGGGAGGAGGGACGGTCAGGCCGGGACGACGTGAGATAGGGAGGTGGGAGCTTTGGCTTGGAGCTTGTCAGATTAGAAGCAAATCACAGCTTGGACCACGCAGGGTAGCGAGGTGCAGGGATGGGGAGGTGCAGGGATGGGGAGGTGCAAGCACGTAAAATGAGAGGGATGAAGAGGATGTTGAGTGAGGGGCGGGGAGGGTGGGAGGAGGCGCGGCGGACCTGCTTGAGGGCGAAGAGCAGCGCGTTGTAGTCCTGCGAGCGGAACACCTGGTGGGGTGGCGCCGTGGGGCGGTGGGGTGTGCAGGGACACATGGAGGGGACAGGAGAGGAACACGGAGAGAAGCGTTGATGCGGTTGCAGTGCAGGTATGGAGAGGCGTGGAGAGGTATGGAGAGGAATAGCGATTTAAAGAGGCTCAAAGTGTAAAAACGCATGATGTGGGCAAGAGGAGTGAGTTCTTGGAGATGAACGTACCTTGGAGATGAACGTACCTTGGAGATGAACGTACCTTGGAGATGAACGTACCTTGGAGATGAACGTACCTTGGAGATGAACGTACCTTGGAGATGAACGTACCTTGGAGATGAACGTACCTTGGAGATGAACGTACCTTGGAGATGAACGTACCTTGGAGATGAACGTACCTTGGAGATGAACGTACCTTGGAGATGAACGTACCTTGGAGATGAACGTACCTTGGAGATGAACGTACCTTGGAGATGAACGTACCTTGGAGATGAACGTACCTTGGAGATGAACGTACCTTGGAGATGAACGTACCTTGGAGATGAACGTACCTTGGAGATGAACGTACCTTGGAGATGAACGTACCTTGGAGATGAACGTACCTTGGAGATGAACGTACCTTGGAGATGAACGTACCTTGGAGATGAACGTACCTTGGAGATGAACGTACCTTGGAGATGAACGTACCTTGGAGATGAACGTACCTTGGAGATGAACGTACCTTGGAGATGAACGTACCTTGGAGATGAACGTACCTTGGAGATGAACGTACCTTGGAGATGAACGTACCTTGGAGATGAACGTACCTTGGAGATGAACGTACCTTGGAGATGAACGTACCTTGGAGATGAACGTACCTTGGAGATGAACGTACCTTGGAGATGAACGTACCTTGGAGATGAACGTACCTTGGAGATGAACGTACCTTGGAGATGAACGTACCTTGGAGATGAACGTACCTTGGAGATGAACGTACCTTGGAGATGAACGTACCTTGGAGATGAACGTACCTTGGAGATGAACGTACCTTGGAGATGAACGTACCTTGGAGATGAACGTACCTTGGAGATGAACGTACCTTGGAGATGAACGTACCTTGGAGATGAACGTACCTTGGAGATGAACGTACCTTGGAGATGAACGTACCTTGGAGATGAACGTACCTTGGAGATGAACGTACCTTGGAGATGAACGTACCTTGGAGATGAACGTACCTTGGAGATGAACGTACCTTGGAGATGAACGTACCTTGGAGATGAACGTACCTTGGAGATGAACGTACCTTGGAGATGAACGTACCTTGGAGATGAACGTACCTTGGAGATGAACGTACCTTGGAGATGAACGTACCTTGGAGATGAACGTACCTTGGAGATGAACGTACCTTGGAGATGAACGTACCTTGGAGATGAACGTACCTTGGAGATGAACGTACCTTGGAGATGAACGTACCTTGGAGATGAACGTACCTTGGAGATGAACGTACCTTGGAGATGAACGTACCTTGGAGATGAACGTACCTTGGAGATGAACGTACCTTGGAGATGAACGTACCTTGGAGATGAACGTACCTTGGAGATGAACGTACCTTGGAGATGAACGTACCTTGGAGATGAACGTACCTTGGAGATGAACGTACCTTGGAGATGAACGTACCTTGGAGATGAACGTACCTTGGAGATGAACGTACCTTGGAGATGAACGTACCTTGGAGATGAACGTACCTTGGAGATGAACGTACCTTGGAGATGAACGTACCTTGGAGATGAACGTACCTTGGAGATGAACGTACCTTGGAGATGAACGTACCTTGGAGATGAACGTACCTTGGAGATGAACGTACCTTGGAGATGAACGTACCTTGGAGATGAACGTACCTTGGAGATGAACGTACCTTGGAGATGAACGTACCTTGGAGATGAACGTACCTTGGAGATGAACGTACCTTGGAGATGAACGTACCTTGGAGATGAACGTACCTTGGAGATGAACGTACCTTGGAGATGAACGTACCTTGGAGATGAACGTACCTTGGAGATGAACGTACCTTGGAGATGAACGTACCTTGGAGATGAACGTACCTTGGAGATGAACGTACCTTGGAGATGAACGTACCTTGGAGATGAACGTACCTTGGAGATGAACGTACCTTGGAGATGAACGTACCTTGGAGATGAACGTACCTTGGAGATGAACGTACCTTGGAGATGAACGTACCTTGGAGATGAACGTACCTTGGAGATGAACGTACCTTGGAGATGAACGTACCTTGGAGATGAACGTACCTTGGGGATGAACGTACCTTGGAGATGAGCGTACCTTGGAGATGAAGGTACCTTGGAGATAAAGGTACCTTGGAGATGAACGTACCTTGGAGATGAACGTACCTTGGAGATGAACGTACCTTGGAGATGAACGTACCTTGGAGATGAACGTACCTTGGAGATGAACGTACCTTGGAGATGAACGTACCTTGGAGATGAACGTACCTTGGAGATGAACGTACCTTGGAGATGAACGTACCTTGGAGATGAACGTACCTTGGAGATGAACGTACCTTGGAGATGAACGTACCTTGGAGATGAACGTACCTTGGAGATGAACGTACCTTGGAGATGAACGTACCTTGGAGATGAACGTACCTTGGAGATGAACGTACCTTGGAGATGAACGTACCTTGGAGATGAACGTACCTTGGAGATGAACGTACCTTGGAGATGAACGTACCTTGGAGATGAACGTACCTTGGAGATGAACGTACCTTGGAGATGAACGTACCTTGGAGATGAACGTACCTTGGAGATGAACGTACCTTGGAGATGAACGTACCTTGGGGATGAACGTACCTTGGGGATGAACGTACCTTGGAGATGAGCGTACCTTGGAGATGAGCGTACCTTGGAGATGAACGTACCTTGGAGATGAACGTACCTTGGAGATGAACGTACCTTGGAGATGAACGTACCTTGGAGATGAACGTACCTTGGAGATGAACGTACCTTGGAGATGAACGTACCTTGGAGATGAACGTACCTTGGAGATGAACGTACCTTGGAGATGAACGTACCTTGGAGATGAACGTACCTTGGAGATGAACGTACCTTGGAGATGAACGTACCTTGGAGATGAACGTACCTTGGAGATGAACGTACCTTGGAGATGAACGTACCTTGGAGATGAACGTACCTTGGAGATGAACGTACCTTGGAGATGAACGTACCTTGGAGATGAACGTACCTTGGAGATGAACGTACCTTGGAGATGAACGTACCTTGGAGATGAACGTACCTTGGAGATGAACGTACCTTGGAGATGAACGTACCTTGGAGATGAACGTACCTTGGAGATGAACGTACCTTGGAGATGAACGTACCTTGGAGATGAACGTACCTTGGAGATGAACGTACCTTGGAGATGAACGTACCTTGGAGATGAACGTACCTTGGAGATGAACGTACCTTGGAGATGAACGTACCTTGGAGATGAACGTACCTTGGAGATGAACGTACCTTGGAGATGAACGTACCTTGGAGATGAACGTACCTTGGAGATGAACGTACCTTGGAGATGAACGTACCTTGGAGATGAACGTACCTTGGAGATGAACGTACCTTGGAGATGAACGTACCTTGGAGATGAACGTACCTTGGAGATGAACGTACCTTGGAGATGAACGTACCTTGGAGATGAACGTACCTTGGAGATGAACGTACCTTGGAGATGAACGTACCTTGGAGATGAACGTACCTTGGAGATGAACGTACCTTGGAGATGAACGTACCTTGGAGATGAACGTACCTTGGAGATGAACGTACCTTGGAGATGAACGTACCTTGGAGATGAACGTACCTTGGAGATGAACGTACCTTGGAGATGAACGTACCTTGGAGATGAACGTACCTTGGAGATGAACGTACCTTGGAGATGAACGTACCTTGGAGATGAACGTACCTTGGAGATGAACGTACCTTGGAGATGAACGTACCTTGGAGATGAACGTACCTTGGAGATGAACGTACCTTGGAGATGAACGTACCTTGGAGATGAACGTACCTTGGAGATGAACGTACCTTGGAGATGAACGTACCTTGGAGATGAACGTACCTTGGAGATGAACGTACCTTGGAGATGAACGTACCTTGGAGATGAACGTACCTTGGAGATGAACGTACCTTGGAGATGAACGTACCTTGGAGATGAACGTACCTTGGAGATGAACGTACCTTGGAGATGAACGTACCTTGGAGATGAACGTACCTTGGAGATGAACGTACCTTGGAGATGAACGTACCTTGGAGATGAACGTACCTTGGAGATGAACGTACCTTGGAGATGAACGTACCTTGGAGATGAACGTACCTTGGAGATGAACGTACCTTGGAGATGAACGTACCTTGGAGATGAACGTACCTTGGAGATGAACGTACCTTGGAGATGAACGTACCTTGGAGATGAACGTACCTTGGAGATGAACGTACCTTGGAGATGAACGTACCTTGGAGATGAACGTACCTTGGAGATGAACGTACCTTGGAGATGAACGTACCTTGGAGATGAACGTACCTTGGAGATGAACGTACCTTGGAGATGAACGTACCTTGGAGATGAACGTACCTTGGAGATGAACGTACCTTGGAGATGAACGTACCTTGGAGATGAAGGTACCTTGGAGATGAAGGTACCTTGGAGATGAAGGTACCTTGGAGATGAAGGTACCTTGGAGATGAAGGTACCTTGGAGATGAAGGTACCTTGGAGATGAAGGTACCTTGGAGATGAAGGTACCTTGGAGATGAAGGTGCCGCCTGGTTTGAGGAACTCAACGGCGAGTCGCAGCGCCTGCAGCGAGAGCGCCGCCTGCCCCAGCGCCTCGCTCAGCCACGCGCCGCCCACGTTGGGCGAGCCGTCGTGCACCACCACGTCCAGCAGCCCGCCCTGCCCGGGGGACGGGGGGGGCGAGAGGGGGGCGGGGAGCGGGGAGGAGAGCGGGGAGTGGCGGGCGTGACAGTCTGGCGGAGTGAAGGGCGGAGGACGCATGCTGAAAGCCGACAGGGAGGGGCGCACCCAGGGGGGAAGAGGGTGGAAGTGCGAAAGGTAAGTGGAAGGCTGGCTAGCCTAGAGTGACTCAAAAGACTGCACCCCATCCGGCCTCCGGCCCCTCCACTGCCCCTCCACTGCCCCTCCACTGCCCCTCCAGAGCCCGTGGAGCGCGTCACGTGTGGAGCGCGTCACGTGTGGAGCGCGTCACGTGTGGAGCGTGGGGGCGTGGGGCGCGTGGCTGACCTTGAGGACTTGTTTGAGGTGGGCGCGGCACTTGGGCGTGGTGATGTCGTGCGTGAGCGTGATGCAGCCCGGCACGGCGCGGATGGGCACCAGGTCCACGCCCACGATCACGCTGCCCACTGGCATGTACTTCGCCGCCACCTGCGCGCGCGCGCGCGGCACACGCAATGGGGGAAGGGGGAGGGATGGGCGCAGAAGATGGAGGTGAGATGCGGGGAAGTGGAGAGAGGGGGAGGGGGGTTGGGGGAGGGAGGGGTGATGGCAAGCACGGCAATGGACAAGTCGCAGCCCAGCCCGGGTGCATCGTCTCGTCTCGTCTCGTCTCGTCTCGTCTCGTCTCGTCTCGTCTCGTCTCGTGTGCCCTCGCCACCACGTCCACGTCCCTGGCCAACGGACGATAAACGGCATGGCGGCGAATAAGCCCTTGCCGCTGTTGCCCCGCGCGCACGACAGACGCTGATCGCCACAGCGGAGTGCGCCGCAGCCTGCGCGCCGCACTGAGCCCCCTTCACCACTGCGCGCCCTGCTAAACCCGAAACCTCGCCGTTGGCGAGCGCCTGGACGCAAACGAACCAAGCAAGGCGCGGCCCATGGCCGTGCGGTGGCGCGCTCGGCGAGGCTCACGAGGGTTCGAGGTTTGGGGTTTTGGAAGGGCACATGGCGACTGTGGGCGAGCAGGCGAGAGTCGCCCGACAAGAAAACTCCCGCGGCAGGTCAATTCCCCTGCCCACGACTCTCGCCGCTGGGCTCACCTGCAGCCATCCGCCCGGCGCGGCGCAGAGGTCGAGCAGCGAGCGCGAGTTCTCGAGGAACTGGTACTTGCGGTTCAGCTGCACCAGCTTGAACGCCGCGCGCGACCGGTAGCCCTGCTCCTTGGCCAGGTAGTAGAACTTGTCGAGCCGCCCCTTGCCCGACGTCTTGGACTTGCCCATGGCTGTCGCGTGGGCCGCACAGCCGAGGATTTCGGTTCGGAGTGAGGGGAGAAAGGTAGGAAAAACTTGCTAGAAACTGTTCAGCAAGCGAACTAGCCTCACCAGCAAAACCCTCGCTTCCACTGATGCGTGGAAACTCGGCAGTACGGTATATGACTTGACACCAATCCGTTTTCCCCCCAACCACACCTACTTTCCCGACAGCTAAAAGGGCGTGTTACATTTTATGATGTGTAAAAATTCAGGACATTCTTCCGAGAACGGTCCTGATACCGAATATCAAACGGTCCGAGTCCAACGTCAACCATGACATATTTTTTGGTTGCGTAACAACCCTATACATTTGGTAGCGGTCGACTCAAATGAACAGTGCAGTTTTTGTCATTTTCCCAACGTTTGAAGCCCTCGTTTTAACGTTTTGAGAACGAGTGCTGTTAGAAACTGAATTGTGTGTTCATTGATGTGGGTTGGGGTACCGGTACATATAGCAAACCCTAATATGTGTACCCCCTAAGACAAGCCTCATTATAGGTTACAACATTTGACACAACTGTCAAATGTTATATCCTTTAATGGGTCATGCTATATGGGGTCCAAACAGTTAGGGTTAGGTACTTGTACCCCAACACAATCAATGCAACTCATTCCGCTGTACCGTATTACCCCGGATTGAAGCGCTGGTGCGCTTATAATAAAACAAGGTTTTTTGGGGAGGTGCGTTTCTAATTGAGGTGTCTGTAAAAGCGCATGCGCCTATAATATGGAAAAAAAATGAAATTCACTTTTAAACATACTAAACTGAAGCCCGCAATAAGGCGAATCCAACGGGCCATGCTGCACGTGGGTTCATGCATGGTTTTCAGGCAAAAACAGCCGCGGTGCGGTTTCCCACCGCACAATGCTGTCTAGAAGCATCGAACGTGACAGCACTGACGGAAATGTTGCAGTGCGGCCCAATCACAGCCGCATGCGCTGCCACGCAGGTGCATTTTTTTCGAACCCTCTCGAAGGGTGGGCAAGCGCAGCGCAGCGGATATGCTGCCACGCAGGTTCCTCTACGGGGCCAGGCGGGGGAACCCTGCCTGTCATTGACGAGGACCCCGCGCCGCTAGCCCGCAGGGGTCCCCGTCGTTGCCCATTTGTGCACCCTCGTCTTCCATTTTTCCATTCAGTTTCTAGTCTAGCCCGCCTGGCTGGCGAAGCCATGGCGGAATTCAGTGGGACGCACTTTCTGTTCAAGAAGAAACCACCACGGCCATGGCGACTTACCGTTGGTATACCCGTGAGCCACCATCGCCTCCTGTGCCACCTGCACCACCTGCACCGCCTGCACCGCCTGCTCCTCCTGTACCTCCTGCTCCTCGTACTCCTCCCGCTCCTCCGAATCCTCCGAGTCCTCCTGTTCCTGACCCGAATTCCCACCAGCGGCCCGTGCTCCAGCTTTACTTGCCAGCCACCTTCGACGAGTGGCTGTCTGAACCGGACACACCCAAGGCTCCCGATGTGGTCGTTGCTGCTCCGCCGACTGCCCCGCGGTGAGGAAATCCTGAGGATTGCACGTGGGACGAGTCGGCCGTGGGCGCCGACGATGACGTGGCCGCCGATAAACAACCCACCGGTGACGGCAACGCGGAAGGCGGCTGTGGAGGCGACGGTGGAATCGATCTTGAAGAGGGCGCCGAGGAGGACGTCTTCCCCGATCGTGAGGCCGCCGATGACGATGGCGTCGAATCTTGGTGGCGCGACGCACCACGCGCGAAAATGCCGATACCAACGTATCCGCCTGTTAACAAGAAACGACCCCACCCCTCTTCTGAGAACCGTGATGCCCGCCCCCCCTCTCCCAGGCACAAGATGACTCTACACAAACGGCAGCGCTACACCGCCCAAGAGAAACTGAAGTGGCTCGTACGGCTGGAGCTTGCGGCATCGATAAGCGAGGTCGCGCGGGAGTCCGGCATACACCGCAAGTGCCTCACGGAGTGGAAAAACCAAGCGGAGGAGCTCAAGGCTGCACACGGCGCTCGGTGTCGACTTCACGGGCGCGGAAGGTCGTCCTGGTATAGACCCATGGAGATGAAGGTGTACGCCCAACTCCTGGACTGGCGACGCCGCGGTGTGGCAGTATCTGTCGGCCGGCTGCAAGACTGGTCAAAAGAGGTGATGAAGGTCCTGTTCCCGGACGTCAAGTGGAAGGCGAGTCAGCGCTGGACGGAGCGGTTCCGCAAGCGGTGGAATCTCACCGTGCGCATGAAAACAAAGGTGGCACAAAAGACACTGCAGCGTAAGTGCCCGTCCGTGCTCCAGTCATCTTAGCTTGATTATCTTGCTTGAATCTTTGTACTTTCTTGCCCATGCATGTTTATTTGCCGCGGTGCTCATCCGCCTTTTTACCCGTCCCTCCCTCCCCTTACTCAGACGTGGCGGAGCAGTACAAGGAATTCTGGCAGTATGTCCGCGACGCACGCCACGAGTACGACATCGACAACCGTTACATCATCAATGCCGACCAGACGCCTTTGTGGCTGGAGATGCCGGCGACGACCACGGTAGCAGACGGGAGTGAAGTCGGTACCCATCCGCAGCGGTGGATACCAGAAGGAGCAAGTCATTGTGATGCTGGCGTGCACAGCGACGGGCGAGAAGTTGAAGCCGTGGGTGTTTTTCAAGCGCAAGACCCTCCCAAAGGGAGACTTCCCGCCTGGTAAGAAGCTGAAGTCGATGCGCGTGTTTTCGAGGGGTAAATCTAGATTATATTCTAACCACCGCTTGCTTGTATGCAGATGTCGTGGTCGGCTGCCAAGCTAACGGGTGGATGGAGGCCTCGGGTGTCATAATCACTAGGAGTGGGGCCTAGGCTTAGTAGCCTAGGCCCACACATAGAGTAGGTAGGATGTGCCCTAGGACTAGGGTTTTGGGTATGCTAAGGAGAATTGGAGAAGAGAGAATGGAGAATGGTGGGTTGAACTAGCAAGCAGCAGGATACATATAGGAAACCCTAAGGGGTTGTACTCACTATTGAGCACCCCACTGCAGGCTAGACAAATAACATAATCTGACACACCCCCATAGCCAAAGTGGGGTGTAATCAGCACACGTGAGAAGTCACAGCAATAGTTCACAATTATCAGCAAAGCTAGTGGCAGTCACAGGAGGCCAGTGAGGAGGAGGAGGAACTGTGGAGGGAGAGAAGAGAGGAGGCGACTACTGAAGTTGCAGACACACGGGCACCAGGAGCACCAGGCTGCAACCTCCTCCAACTGTCTCACTCCCCCCTACACACACCCCCAGGGTCACCACTCGCTCCACGCCCACATCACCCCCCTAGCGCCACTCCCTCGTCTCCCACACATCCACCCCCGCAGCGGCAGCTGCAGCAGTGGGAGACGGAGGAGAAGGAAGGGGCGACGCACACGGAGCACCCCCACACCCGCCACCCCCACACCCTCCTGTCCAGGGGACCCAGGGAGGGGGGGGGGGGGGGGGCGGGGCGGGAGAGCGCACGAGGGCGCGGGCAACCGCGCGTGCAGAGCAACAGCGCGGAGCAGGTAGGGTAGAGCGCACGAGGGCGCGGGCAACCGCGCGTGCAGAGCAACAGCGCGGAGCAGGTAGGGTAGAGCGCACGAGGGCGCGGGCAACCGCGCGTGCAGAGCAACAGCGCGGAGCAGGTAGGGTAGAGCGCACGAGGGCGCGGGCAACCGCGCGTGCAGAGCAACAGCGCGGAGCAGGTAGGGTAGAGCGCACGAGGGCGCGGGCAACCGCGCGTGCAGAGCAACAGCGCGGAGCAGGTAGGGTAGAGCGCACGAGGGCGCGGGCAACCGCGCGTGCAGAGCAACAGCGCGGAGCAGGTAGGGTAGAGCGCACGAGGGCGCGGGCAACCGCGCGTGCAGAGCAACAGCGCGGAGCAGGTAGGGTAGAGCGCACGAGGGCGCGGGCAACCGCGCGTGCAGAGCAACAGCGCGGAGCAGGTAGGGTAGAGCGCACGAGGGCGCGGGCAACCGCGCGTGCAGAGCAACAGCGCGGAGCAGGTAGGGTAGAGCGCACGAGGGCGCGGGTGAGACTGAGCGCGACTGCACAGGGTCCAGGAGCGGCGTCGCGGGCAGCTGCTGCAGAGGTCCAGAGGCGGCTGCTCCAGGGGCCAAGGGCGGCTGCTGCAGTGGCGGGTGGCTCCAGGGGCGGCTGCTGCAGTGGCGGGCGACTCCAGGGGCGGCTGCTGCAGGGGCGGCTGCTCCAGGGGCGGCTGCTGCTGTGGCGGGCGACTCCAGGGGCGGCTGCTGCAGTGGCGGGCGGCTCCAGGGGCGGCTGCTGCAGTGGCGGGCGACTCCAGGGGCGGCTGCTGCAGTGGTGGGCGGCTCCAGGGGCGGCTGCTGCAGGGGCGGCTGCTCCAGGGGCGGCTGCTGCTGTGGCGGGCGACTCCAGGGGCGGCTGCTGCAGTGGCGGGCGACTCCAGGGGCGGCTGCTGCAGTGGCGGGCGGCTCCAGGGGCGGCTGCTGCAGGGGCGGCTGCTCCAGGGGCGGCTGCTGCTGTGGCGGGCGACTCCAGGGGCGGCTGCTGCAGTGGCGGGCGACTCCAGGGGCGGCTGCTGCAGTGGCGGGCGGCTCGAGGCGCGGGCTGGCCTGGCGCAGTCCGTACGGGCCGCGCGCGGGCCTGGCGCAGCCCGTACGGGCCGCGCGCGGGCCTGGCGCAGCCCGTACGGGCCGCGCGCGGGCCTGGCGCAGCCCGTACGGGCCGCGCGCGGGCCCGACGTAGGTCCGGGGGCCACGACGGGCGACGGGGGGCGACGCGCGGGTCCCCGTCGCCCGTCGCAGCGCCTCCCGGGGGCGACGCGCGGAGTGACGGGGCAGAAAGCCGCCGCGCGCCTCGGGGCGCACGGCGGGCAGAAAACCGCCGCGCGCCTCGGGGCGCACGGCGGGCAGAAAACCGCCGCACGCTCCGAGCGCGCGGCGGGATGAAAAATCCGTCGCACGCCTCGGGGCGTGCAACACACAGAGTAGCAGTAG